AATAGTTATACAATAGGAATATATGTATAATATTGGTCCATTAATAGTTCTCAGAAGTTACTCGTAATTTAATCTCCTCTAGGATATAACAGCAAATGGTTGTTGCTTTCAATATTATATATATGATATACAGGACTGTTCCGATAGTGTCTTATGGCTCTGTTATCTGTTTGTATCAATATTGGTTACTTCTAATTTGTATAACAGATTAACTTATGATTAAAAGTGATGCTGTTTAATAGATGATGACTATGTGGTCATTACTGAAGTAATTGACCACTGTTATTACTTATATAGTCGATATGTGGTAAAGTATATTCGTTTGTTTACTAGAATCGGTTATCATCACTACTTAAATACTGAAGTTAGGAGAGAGCATAAGTCAATCGAGCAAATTTAAAGGATATAGATAAAATCTATTCAATGTTTGAAGTTAGATAATAAAAGATAGAAATTTTGAGTGGGGAGTCACCGGAATTCTTACGGCGTGGTCACGTATCTTAGTATTACACCCCAGTTTTTATTTGAAATGTAACCTAGTAACATGTCTTTAATAGTTCGTACTTTCTGTTCACTGGAATAACAAATTGTAGCGAATTACTGACATACTGGACAAGTAGGCTGAAGTAAATAATGATAATGTAACGCAGTCACCGTTTGCAAGCCTTTGTAATCGATCATAGATGACACATTGGCTATTTCTTACCCAATCAGCGCTAGTCAATATTTGGAGAAGACTCTAGGATCTTCTGATGTAAAAACTATAAATATACTAACGTTTCTCTTATTGTGATTCTTACTTCTATCGATACTTGTTATTTGGGATATAATTTCGGTCCTGTTCAATCGTATTCTGAATTGAGGACTTGTAGAACTATGGTCTACTGTGATATTAGTACTGCTCTAATAATAGACCTAATCCTTAATTTGTAGATTTGTCATGATATAACTGCCTAATCTATAAGATCTTACGTGGAAGTCACACCATCTACTACACCAACTCACTGTATCGTATCAATTATCAATATATGATGTAGAACAAGGTTAGGCTAGAGAAAGAACAATATATTTAATACGAATAGAAGATATAAGGTAACATTCAGCAGAGACCACGCCTGCATGGCCGAGCCATGCCACTCGACCAACTCCAGTCCGTTCAATTCATTCTTCGCGCCTTCTCCATCGTTAGGTATTTATCCGCGTTAAATATTGAATATCTATTTTCTGAGTAGTCTCGTGTTCACAGCTTTGTGGATTGTGTGGCTATTGTCCAATGCCACTACAGACTTGCCGAGTGAATTGGTGTCCAAGAATACTAAGCAATAGGAATAGCTGGGTTGTAATGAGAGAAATTACAACAACCTTACCACTTCATTTTTTATGATGCATATCCTTATCTTCAGATTTTGTCACGTTCATCAGTAATTTAAAATCCTAAGCAACAATTAACTTGTAGTAATATCGGAGCAAAACCTCTTCAAATACTCATACATTCCAGCTCTTTGTTATTCATCCATGTTAGCAGTATAATATATCTTCGTGTCTATTGAGTTTTCTTGAAATCTGGACGATTGTTCAGCTTATAATTACATTTGTTGTTGTATCCAAAAAGACATTATTGATTGGCTAAAGGAGATTTTATTCGATTTTCTCAGCTCGGGACCGAACTACCCTACAAATATGATAAATACGGACAGTAAGTAAAATGCCGTCAACTTTTCAGTTGACTGAAACTCACTTGAAAAGTGACAGTGGAATAAGGTGGATTTCAATCTTTTTATAAACCATAAAGTTGAATGCAAACATTCAAAATACATATTTACGTAACATTTATGTGTTCAGCGCGAATTATTTTTTGTAAGTCATAACTGTAAGCCTGACCACCACGTCTAGGTAGCAACAACGGTCGGGATTTTTCCAATTGCCATATTGTATAGTTTGATCACTTCTACAGCCAACTTGGTTGGTATAAATCTGTAGAATTATGATATACTTCTTTATTAGTACTGCTCTAAGAATAGAGCCTATCCTGAGATTGTAGGTTTGTCATGTTGTAACTGCCTAGAAGCAGGGTATTATGAAATAACAGTGAGTCAGTTGATGAGGTTGTGAATCTTCATCGACTGAGATGGTTGGGCCACGCGTTACGTATACCTGAACACTGATTACCACGATGCGCAATGCTAACCGGTGCTGGAGATGGTTGGAAGAAAGTTAGGGGCGGCCAAACCAAAACGTGGCATCAGTGCTTGAAGTCACTAACTTCTGGTCTGAGCCATGTTGGTAGATGCAGACTACTTGGTTGGGGTCCGCGTGACAATCTTAACCAATGGTTGGAGACTTTTGGTGACATGGCTCAGAATCGATCACAATGGCGTCGGTGTAAACACTGTCTGTCTTTCCTTGAACTAAGAGATTAAAATCAATCATATCTTTCTTTCTACCAACTTATTCTTCCTTCCTGTACCGTTCATTTATATGAAATCTTTTTACTACCATTGAAGTAAATTCTTCTATGAATCCGGTGTCTATCTTGTTGTGCTAATGCGGTATGGCAACTGGGAACGATGCAGATATGTGCCTGATCCTATGTTTTAGCTGACTGACTGACTGACTGAAGTGCCTAATGTACAAGATCTTTCGTGGAAGTCACATCATTATCTACACTGAGGCATCATATCTTAACAATTACCAATATATGATGGAGAACACATCCAGGTCGGAGATTAAACAATATGTATAATATGAGTAAAACATGTCATACAGAATAACCACACCTGTAAGGCTGAGCCATGCCACCCGATTAGATTCAATTGAATTCCTTCCTCCTGTCTTCACAATCATTGGGTTTTTCCCTGCATTAAGTGTTGAATATCTATTTTCCCAGTCGTCTCGTGTTCAGCTTTGAGGATTGTGTGGTTAGAGCCCAATACCACTACAAATCATTTATCTCGGCCCAGGTATCTTATGGCTGTGGGGAATAGAGATTTAGACAGCAAAAACCCAGACTTATCAACACTTGGGCTTTTCAAACCTCGCACGAAATCAAATTCTCTTAATACATCAATCTATTCATAATTAACGGCAGCATTGTAGACAACCATAACACCGTTTGTGAACAATGCAGCCACCGTTTCTCTTGATGCCACAACACAGAAACCGAAACACTTTTCATTACGCTTCTAACGTTGACATATAGGCATCTATCCACAATCGATTTTACATCTATCACTATCAACCAGCTCCGAACTTCTCTGAAGAACTCTACGACAGTGGACCTAGTGGCATTCTTGCATCACTCTTGAAATGTGGTGATAGAAAAGTTCCATTATCCTGTCTAAAACTGTCCAACCTATCCACGGACTATGGGGCTTATCCATCAGTACGGAAAAATTGCTTACCACCCCCAAGTTCAAAATGGGATCACATAGCGATATTGCTAACTATAGTCTCATTACCCTGACATCCATGCAATCAAGGATCTTGGAAAAATCATCCACAGACATTGGACCTGATTAGCCCATTTCAACGTGGGTAATGACTAGACTCTCATACTCCACATTGCACCTGGAACTTTCCGATAACCTAAATCTGGTTCTGCACAAATACTTACTGGAACACTCCAACACTGTTTATGACTTGGGTAAAGCAATAGTTTCAACTTTTCCGAACATATGGCATCTCCAGTATCCAAAACAAGAAGGTTCATTAAATTCATAATGATCAATTTTAATAATATAGAACCTGGATTATTATCAATATGTGAAAAAAGTATCATGCCCGTCATTGAATGTGGTATTCTAGCCTTCAGCGATTGCAAGCATAATATCTTGATGAGAACTGGTTGTTCACACAAAGTTCACTAAAGCTATTTTGTATTATTCCGACAATCTCAAGTTAAAACCTCTCTAGATCAGGCATATTAAACAAACTTTTTCATTGACTTCAGGTTTTTAAATAGTATTCATTATTCTTTGGCATCCACCCCTTCGTACTCTATTATATAATCCCACGGCTTACACAATAAATGAATATTCTTTCGATTCCAAGGACCTACATAACCGATGTCAGAATTTCTCCGTTATTCACTATTTAACCATATGGAACAGACTCCCAGAAAGCCTTCGTCGCAGCAAAACTGCAACCTGGTTGAAACGTCTCCTGGATAACTGGTTCCAAAAGTGGCTTGTGTCACCAACTATATACAAGTGTGAATACCAATGATGCATTCAAACATGGTCGGATATCTATCTATCTATCTGTGTGGCCAAAGAAATGCAAGTGGGCGCTAGCCAAATCACCCATCATCATAGAATATCAAACAGTTCATGATCCTCGTCAAGATCAGCAACAACCATTGAGCATGTCCACTGTACTTAATTTTACCAATATATTACTGTAATAGCGTTATTTGTAATGTACGGTCATCAAAGCAGCCATAGTACCTGAAAAATAGGAAAGCTTAATCCATGGAAGGTACTAGCTGTAAGGTGTTCCCCCGACGTTAGCTGGTTGGTCAGAATCATTTGACACAGATCATGCATGTTGTTCAATTAACTCATCCATATAATTTTTCATTTTATTATCAAATGACTATCCACTGCTAATAGGCACGGAAGCCCGTTAAGGGAAAGCTTCTGTTCCGTCCACAACCATTTGAACCACTTGACTTTCCCATCGAATCATCGAGTGGAAACCATTCCCTCAACACGTGATTGAAACCCCGTCTGTCGACTCTTTCAAAATAAAGTTGTGTCAACTGAGGAACTACAATTTCCAGGACTAACAGAGGACACATGGTCTCGTGTCCTTTCCAAGCTGACAATGGAATAGGTAATTCTCCGTAAAAACTTTTAAAAATAGTCTTATTTGTCACATGGTCACTTATTTCGATTGAATTTAAAAAGATGGGTTATTCCTAAGTTGGAAGACGTTTTTCACGTCAAAACCCGGATAAAAATAAGGTGTTCATTCTTGCTCAATGATTACTTTTAATTGACCTTCAGACTATAAATCAGAAGGCGCACAAATCCGAATTCGGTAGGTAGTTGGTTGGTTTCTCGTCTTTACTGCATATATCTCCAGACATGGTACACGAAATTGTTTTATTTTTATCACCGATCAGTCTTCAGGTATTAAACCCTCAGCAAAATGTGAAGCCACGTATAAAGAACTGAAAATGGACCACTGTCACCGCTATATCTTGTTTAAAATCGTTAATAATGAAATAGATGTAATCAAAATTGCTCCTAGAGGTTGTTTTCAATTTAATGTATTTTATCTGCCTAGGCGAAACTATATCACAATTTCAAGATGAAGTTATGAAGCATCAACACACGGGGTGCTATGGTGTATTAGACTATGAATGTGAAGGTGTTAAAGGATCGGACTTAATATACTTCTCATTGTATGAAGTCATTTGTGTTTCTTAATTTGTTATTCTAGAGTGTCCGATTCTGCACCATTAATGGCAAGAATATTACATGCGACAACGCGAATGACGCTGAAATCAAGTTTCGACGGGATAAAAACTGATATTGAGGCTCACGACATCAATGAACTTATGGAGAAATTAAAAGCCAGTTCAGCTACAGATAAAAGAAAAATTCGATAAATTATCAATATTAAAAGACCATCTTTTAAGTCTGCCACAATGCTATAAAGTAAATAAAATTTTAATGTGTATACTGTTTGCTGTCTTCATAAATCGTCGTAAAATACAAGTCGGTTTTTTCCACGATATTTAACTTATTAACTGAGAAATATATGAGTTGAGATGTAAGTGTTTATATTCAAACCGTTATTTTTTCGTCGTCTTGGTTCAAAAATCTTTTGTAAACGTTATTCTGTCGATCTGGCATTCTTGGACGAAACAGCAAACCTCCCCAGACGACTAACTTCACTGACCCGGTACTTGTGCAAGAACTGTTAGTATATTGTACTTTAAAATAAGGTTTTTGTTATGTCCAGAATTAAGTTTGTTGGTCCAGGTTTTCTTGACGACTGAGTAACTATCTGATTATTTTTAGTACATTTCACTTTGACACATGAACCTGAATGCTTGTCCGTCTAATTGATTTTCAATTTTGGGATAGCTGTCATCAAGAGTAGTTTGTGGGAGTGATAAGTTCAATCATTGGTACTATTCGCGGACTTTGGTGCTCTATCTTTATTTCCGTGTCCATATGTCATGTTATATTGGCTGTGATTTTGGTATCGAAAGTACAGCTTTTTCGATAGTTAGAGTTTCATATAGTTATTGTAACTTCAAGTTGGCATCTTACTACCAGTTGTTCAGAAACATTGTTATCTTTGCCTTTCCAAGAACACAGCAAACTGAATGCAACACTGGAGAAATCTTAACGTAATTGTGTATATATCTGGCTCAGAATACTCCCCACTTCAGACATGAGTTTCATGAAAAAGCTTTACGTTCAATGAAGCTCCATTAAATATGACGCCTGGATCGACATCAAGCAAACTTCTCACCAGACCGGAAGCAGAAGTTAATAGGATATGTTACGCACCAGTTAACATTTGAAGGTTCTGTAGAGACGGACCCGTCTGTTTCGGAACGCATTTTCTGTCCTAAGATATTGTAGCATTACACTGGTGTTTTTTGATGACGATCATGTTGGTCACTGAAAAATCAATCAGCTGTCCACTATAACCGAAGTAAGATCCTACTTAAGTGGATAGTTTGGCCGTGGAGCCTTCATCATTCTTAACAACATCAGCATAACCGTGCTTAAAGTTTGTGCTGTTGATGTTCAGAAGAATAATAAAAGCTCCACGACCAAACCGCCTGGCTCAGAGAACTAAACAAGTATTTAAGTAAACAATCTGGACTGAAGATTGAGATTACTTGGGAAATTCCAAGTAAGGACTTGCCTCGTGATTTAGTTTGATGATTTCCACAATGTATGTCCTACTCATCTTCAGCGTCTTTCCCTAATTTCCTATTCAGTTGGAAACCGACTTGTTCTTTGATACAGTAGGCTGCTGCTGATGGTATCCATCCAACAGATATTGAGTATCTTCCATAGACAACTGTAGTGTAATGCCTCTGGAGTCCTCACACTGACAAACAGAAATACATGGAACACATAGCAGCGTAGGAAGCCACAAGAGAAGGAAATATCAAACAACTGAATGGCACAATGAAGAAACTAACAAAGAAATATAGTAAACCAGAGGGACCGGTTAAAAACAGAAGGAAAGTTGATCACTGCGGTTCAAGAACAGAGGAAGTTGGGTGGAGATATTCTTCTTTTCAGTCCGTTGGCACTTTTCCTTCCTTCTAAGTCATCCTGAGTAGAACGTGAAGCATACTTGCAGTTACTCCTATGTCTGATTTCAGTGCTTCGGATGGTATATTGTCAGGTCCAACTGCTTTCCCATTCTTGTCTGGTAGACATATTGATTTGCTCGATTGTTGGTGAAATGATATGTGTTAGATAGTTTGTGTATGCTGCTTCGATGTCCAATGGATTCCTTTGAGTTGGCCAATCCAAGAGTTCTTCAGAGTGCTCCATCCAACTTCCTCTGTTCTTGAACCGCAGTGATCAACTTTCCTTCTGTTTTTAACCGGTCCCTCTGGTTTACTATATTTCTTTGTTAGTTTCTTCATTGTGCCATTCAGTTGTTTGATATTTCCTTCTCTTGTGGCTTCCTACGCTGCTATGTGTTCCATGTATTTCTGCTTGTCAGCTGCAGTTCTTCTCTATGTGTTCAGTTTGTGCCTCGATTATCTCTGCTTTTATTCATCTATTGTTGGCTGCTGTCTTTTTGTTTTTCCTTCCTTGAATCCTACCCAGAGTTTCGATAGATATTCATACCTTATGATGATGCTTCCTGCGACCCAGAATATCCTGTTACTTTGAAGTTAGTGTTTCTTTGATCTCTTTCCAGTTGTTCTGCATAGTCGTGGATCATGTAAAGCTTGGAACCTGATACTGATAGCTATATTGAATTCTTTGAGTTAGTATCTGGAAAGGCTGTATTAAACCTTTACAATGTTGTTCCTCCGGTTTCCTAATGTTTTCTCCGCTTCAGTTTCCTCTTGGAAACCACCAGATGGTATCTCAAGCGATTTCAGTTCCTCTCTTTGTTTTCACGTCTTCTATGGATCTTCTGAATTTTTTGTGACACTTATATGATCGATCTTTTTCTCTGTAGTGTGATCCGGTGAAAATCCTGTAGCTTTGTGTATGCGTTGTGGGGTAATGTAGTGCCACATATAACCATTTTTTGAAGGCACATCCCAGTCCATGTCGTCCCATGATATTCTCATACCCGGTGTTGTCCATTTCGACTAACACAAGATTATTATTCCAACTGATCGAGTAAACGTATTAGAAAGGCAGGCGGTCGTGAGACTGTCTCTGAACCAGATGGAACTATTATTCGCCCAGTCCAGCATATTAGATCAATTAACAGGATACTTTAGGGAGCAACTCAACTGGCCTCCAGTCACCCATTAACCAGAATGGAAAATTAACGCTACTCCCCCAAATCTTAGTGGGGTTCAAAGACTGTAGGTGATCTAAAGCACGAGAACAACAGGCTTCGGTGGACTAACACCGGAGATGTTTAAAAATCATCCAGTTTTGACTGTTTAACTGATTGAGATACTAAAGAACATTAGGGGATTGAACGTGATTTCATCTGACTGTTATAGATAACTGATCGTTCCAATGAGGGTATAAATCCTCTGGTAACAACTACAGAGGGATCAGTTTAACTGGTATTATCTAGATTGTTAGCGTTAACAACCACCTGACGTTTAAGTAGGACCCGTGGAGAGTAAATCCTTCAAAATCAGGGTAGTTTCATATATGTGCCTGAATGTATTGACCAAACAGTCACCCTTCAGTTTTAGAAGGTAGATGTACCGATACCAAATTGTAATTGTTTCGTAACGTTAAGGCACCATCCGACTATGTTAACCAAAAAAAATTATTGTGTTTATCATTAAAAGGCAGACAAAGAAGTAAGTAAACCTTGTAAGGTTCTACCCGAACACTGTTGCTCGGATCAGAACTTCTCGACCGCTGCTGCTACCTAGACGTGGTGGTCGGGCTTGCCTGTCGTGATGAACCAATCGAGCTATACTGGCTGGAACGATCGTTCCTCAAGGTCCTACTATACCAGACAGGACAGTTGAAGAGCGGTAAGACTAAAAGCAGAAAACCCAAGGTCCGAAGGCGAAGTCGTACTGCTCTGTGTACAAACTTGTGACGGTAGTAATTTGTTTCCCCCGGACAAATGGCATAACAAAGATACTGCATTTCCGCAAAGAAGCGTGGGGTTAAAAATGTCAACCCTATAAATGCACACCTCGCCTTGTCGCACGGATATCCGTCTCCGGCGGTAAGGTCTCAACAAGTACGGAGCTAACACAAAAATTACCCACAGAAAGTTCGTGTGTGGCCGGCCCCAAACAGTTGTCTTTGGGTATTGCGGTCACGTTCTCGGGACCAATTCCAACCCAATTTCCTTTCTAGGTGCCTCTAGAAGAATCCTTTTACAGTTTGGACAACCGGGAAGTGAGAACCGTCCTCATACTTCTAACAGCGCTGAGGACCACAGTATTCAAAATAAACTTCCCTCCTCAATTCCTATTATCCCTCTGACTTTGACTATCAACTCTAAACTTCCTCCTCAGGTATCAACATTGTCAATGAATCTAGCGCGCGAAATACTGTCCTAAGTCTACTGAAACCTCGCTCCAAACTACACATTGAAGCCTTCAACGTACGCACCCTATGTCAAATTGGCTAGCAGGCCTCCTTGACTACGACCCTAGAATCTCGTACGATTGGTGTATGCTGTGCCTTCGAAATATGTATTCAGGATCCTAGTGTAGTTGTTCACCCGATCTCACTTAGCGAAAACGGGAAGCCGACGAGATATGCCCTCCGTTTATCTAGCGACCTGACGGCATGTTCTCGTGGGTTGGCGGGTGTAGGCATAGCACTAAATATGAGAGCAGAAGAAGCACTTCTAAAATGAATCCTAGTAACTGCAGCCCGAATGAATTGGAAGATGAATTTTACAGAAAGTTTTCTGAACTTCATAAAGCTAAACGCTCAGACATAGTACTGGTAGCAGGTGACTCTAATGCCCAGGTAGGTGGCTTAAACCAAGCAGAAAGATATTTAGGTGGGCGGAACATTTCAGAGAACAGTTCAGCTGGCCTTCAGCTACTCTACAACTACCCTTCATTCCCAGACAGTGTGAATGGAACATTGAAGTGGGTCCCCCAACTCTAGCAGAAGTTCAAAAGGCTATAGTTAATCTGAAACGAGGAAGGTCAGCTGGTTCAGATGGATTGGTTCCAGAGGTCTTTAAGGATGGTGGTTCAGTTTTAGCGACCGATGAAGTTAGGAATCTTCGTCGACTGAGGCGGCCATATATTTGTAATCACCACTTACCTCGACTAGCGATGTTTGCTGTTATGGGGGAGGTTGGAAGAACATTAGGGGTATCTAAACCAAGAAACATTATCAATCAAAAAAGTCGTTGACTGTTGGTTCGAGTCATGAAGATTCCTTGGTTAAAGTCTATCTGATAACTACGATTAATCGTTGGATACTCTGGGCGATATGGCTTAAAACCGTTCACACTAATTCAGATTCATCCACTTTTTATCTTCCTGTCG